CAACTTTATCGATAGACATCTGCTGTTGCACCATAATCCTTTGAAATTTAACCGTTGTTTCGTCAGGGCTATTTCCAGTAACATTCTTCGCTTCCGGTATGTCAGCTTTCACTTCCGGTAAAGCGTGCGGTTTGGTTTCCGGTAAAACGCATTTCTCAACATCCGGTTGACTAGGAACGGCGGAAAGTGACAATCCTTCCAAATATTTCCTCACGTTCTCGTGACCTCTAACTGATCCTTCGGAAGAAAAAACAGAGTCAAAATCAACCTGCTCCCCCAGTTTGGCTTCAATCTCAGCCTGTTCTGCGTCAATCCTGGCTAACATTAATTCGCTTCGAATGTTCAAACGTTCCTTCTCGGCTGACAAACGCGTGTTTTCTTCTTGTAGTCGTAACGCAATTTCACTTTCCTTTATCTCTTGTTCAGCCAGAAGCCTTTTCACTTTAAGCTGAGCCATTGTACACTTGACATTCCGTGCCGATAACTGACTCCCTCCTTTAGAACTCTTTTTCCTTGGGTGTAATTGACCTAGCGTCTTATCGCCGCCACTTGCATGATTTTGAGTCGCATTAGGTGTTTTCGTTTCCAACAAATCACTAGCGCGCCCGCGCGGGAAACTGAAGGATTTGTATTCTGAGTTCCTTGAAAGGCACCCTCTAATCGTACAACAGGCGTTTTGGAGCTCAAATCAAACCCAGAAATATTCGCAGTTCCTTCACCGTCAACTCCTCGACTTATTGGGGTGTAAACATCGTTTAACCATTCCTTGTATTTGTTTTCAAACATCTGCATTCGATAAACATCCTTGGCGTAGTCATGAGTAATACGCTCTCTATCCTCTTGCTCCCCAGACAAATGATACCACTGCGCACAAGCCCGTTTAAGCTTCTCGAATATGCCCACCAGCGAACTGTGCTTTTCAACAACTTCTTTTGAAGAAATTTGCTCTAAGAGTAGCGGATCTAATTCATTTATAATCCGCGTAATGTGTCCACGGTAGGCTATAATCGTCCGTCCCAAGCTGTCTCTTTCACCAACCGAAGACATCGTTAATGGTAATTTCAACTTGGAACTCCTTTGATCTGTCGCCAACCAGAGCGGCCAACTTTTACCAAAGTCGATCGTTAAGTACTATGTAACCGAAGTCACGCGTATTAGTGTCCAACCGCTTTATTTTATAAATCACACTCCTACGGTACTGTACAACCAAAAATACAAAGAATACGAAATTACGAAAAATGTAGAAATCAGTACAAAACAACAAATACATCAAAGAAAACGGAAAAGCGTACAAACGGGGTATGACTAAAATTTACCTTTACGGTTTCTTGACGTAACGTTAAAAGGAATGAGCTGTTCTTGACCGATAAACACTGTAAAAAACACTGACCGACAAGACTAAGTTTATACCAAAAAACTTGACAGATTACGTAACATTACGCAACGATGGTGACACCAGAAAGAAAGTAAACAATATAACAAAAGAAAACTATAAACAATTGCGACTAATTGCAAGTAGACGCGAACAAAAAAAAAAACAAGGAAAACCCTAAGTTCTAGAAGTTTCGCTTTAACATGTATATTTGTTCAGAAAAAAAAGGATGATAGAAGCTGTGGTTGCACAAGTACTTTGTTAGAGCTGGAGAAAATGGCGAAAAAATTGCAAAGGTTTTGTCAAGACGAATAGGCCAAATGAGTATCTGAACTTGTGGCAAAAAAAGGAAAAATAACAATGCCAACTGCTATTCAAAAAATATCTGCTAGACTAAATATACCTCTTATCCTGTATTTGCCATGGAAGGGGATATTGGATTTGGCTCTCTTTGACCTGAAGAATATTATTATGCAGATCTGGGAGGGTGATATCCACCTTGGCAATCCTCAAACTGCATAATTCTTCAGATCACAAATAGCCTCATTCAATAGCCCCCTCCGGGGGGGATATTAATTTATAAGAGGCTAATGGGTATGTGCCGCTGGATGGGGTCACATAATTATTTGTGGTGAACAAACATACTGGAATGTTTGTGCTGTACGTGAAAAGTGAACTGTCTTCTTTCAATATAAAGTAGGCACATGGAAAATGACTCAGATATGATTGCAAAAATTACATATCCACTCAAAAGTGTCTAAAATGGGGTCAAGAATTGGCCACAGAGTACACTATAATGGGATAGGGGCTCTGAGAGCCCAGCAGCACATACGGACCAAAAATTAACCCAAGTACCTCCCCACCCCCCCTCCGGGTCTAATAGTAGCTTACTATTTGTCATACACTATAGCAACAGTCACTTTTTAGGTTTCTTGTTCAAAGGGCAATCTTTATGTGATGTCCGCTGGTGACGGGTCGATCCACAACGGCACTTTCTTCCACTCACAACTAACAGATCATCTTCGTTTCCAAGTATTTCATTCACGTCTGAAACTAGCTGGCCATCATCATCTCCTTCATCTTCTGAATCTCCTCCATAAGTGTGTCTAAATGCCTGCTGTTTCACCCACTTTTTCCTCGCCTCCTGATCTTCTGTTCTGGCTACTTTCATATTTATTCGCTGTTGCTTCCTTGCTTCTGTTTGTTGTTTATTCAATTCAGCCGCACGATCCTGTACTCATTTGACGAGTGCTTCAACCGCTGCTGGAATTACTGGAACGTTCAACCTTTGGTAAAGGTCTATGACCCAATGGTCGTTGTTGCCTCTGACTTTAAAGCACCATGTCATGTTGCCTTGGCATAGACCAGCATTAGCTGATGCCATGTAGTGCAATCTTGGATGAAAATAGCAAGAAAACAAAGTTAACAAAACATGCCCATAGTCCTAAAAACCTAGACCAGCAAACCGAAATAACATTTTCCACCCTGTGTACCTAGATTTCCACGTAGTTCATCCAAAGAAACACAGACACTTTCTACAAATACATTTTAGACAACAGTCTATTATCAATTCAGTTTCCCTTGGAGTTTGGCTACTAATGGATGAATTAAAAAAAATAAAAGGTATACACTGATTTGTTTTACTTTCAGTTATAAGCCATGATACAATCCTTGGTGATGTACAGTGCATTTAGGTGGTAAATAAAACAAATTATAAGAGACAGGCAAATTTTAAGAGTCCTATTTTTGTATGAAGTCTCTGTAAAATATCTTTATTAAAGGAACTGCCCGTGGGTTCTGAAATTCGAAAAAGAAAAGTGGCAAACTAAGTTTTGCAACCATATTTGGGTGTTTGCCAATTTTTCCCGTTTGGTCGCCTCTTTTCTTTACATGAACACCTGTAGAAATATGGGCGTTCTTCATTGTCTCTATTCCGCTCCAAACTTCTTTCGCTCTTCAATAAGTTTAATTTGTTATAAATGTCGCCAGCAAGTATGAATTCAATGTATTCATTATTTTCCTACCTTGTGGTTTACGCTTTTCAATTAATTTTTAATAACACAGCATCACAAAGTTAGAAATGAAAACTGACGTTTCCTAGTCGCTTGATTAATGGCTCAAAAACGAAGGTGTCGAGCCAGTCTGCCTACTTCCTTGAACAAAGACAATTTCTGTTCAGCTGACAATGGCGCCTTCACTTTGATCCTCTTTTCCATACAGGGCATATTAGAATTGAAAACGGTTATTTTAAGCCGAAACTTATCCACAGTCGCAAAGAAACAGGACCCATTCATTTTTACGCGTGAAGCCGGTTCTGATGTTGATATTAATAAACGGACTTGATGGTCCCTTAAATAATAATAATAATAATAATAATAATAATAATAATAATAATAATAGTAATAATAATAATAATAAATTTTTTAATAATAATAATAATAATTTGATTAAACTCTTCTCAAATTGAAAATTAAATATAAATTTAGTATAACTGTAGTTAAAAAAGACTTCTTGCTGGTCTGGTGGTTTTCAACAACACAAATGTAAAACAACTATCTAAACACTAAAAAATGAAAATTTCTATGTACATCCCAATAATAAAGTATCTATAGCTGTTGAGTCTAGGGAAGTCCTGCTTGACCCTTCTCTATTTCTAGATCCCTGTCCTTAACATCTAAGTTCCTCCTTCTGGGGGTTCTCGATCCCCTCAGGCACAGAATCGCGCTCCGCAAAATTGCAAAGGACACTTTCGCCTTGACCCATGAAATTGTTAATAATAATAATAATAATAATAAATAATAATAATAATAGTAATTAGTAATAATAGTAATAATAATATTAATTCAAAGGAGTATTTAGGAGAGGTTTTTACATCTGTTAATAAGCTCGCACTTCGTACGTGTTCGGCTGTTCCTTGTATTTTAAACTCGATAAGACGCACTTACTAGTTTATGAAACTTTCAAAGCCTACTGTTACAACTACTTTTTATTAAGAGTGCCTCAGTTCTTCTTTTGTTTTTCTTTCTAGGCCAAATATAAGGTTCTTTTTTATGAATTATTTGACTGTACAAATTCATTTCACAGTTGAACGCAGTCAGTTGTTAAATATAAATTAAGAAAAAAATGCGTGATAAGTAGTTTTATTTGCTTAACTCTATTCTATGCAATTTTGACATCCTATTTACTTTCTTAATGGATTCTCAATGAAATTGTGACGACATTTAGAGTTTGACGTTGTAGAAGGCAGTAATTAAGACAGTTACCCAACATTAACCTGTATATTTTTTGGACAATCACGTTTATTTGGTTTTTGGTTAATAGAAATGGTTTAATTCTACCTTTATTGCAGATGCGTCGTATTTTGTTTTGACGCTATTAAAACAAAAGGAACATCATCAATAGTTGTTATCGTTATCTAATATCTTTTGATCATATACAGAGTTGAGTTCATCTGGCCATGGCTGACCACTGAATATTTATATAGTTTGATTATGATAAGAAACGGAACAACAATGGTATGAGTAAGTGTTCCTAAAACGATAGATAACATAGGTGTCACAATTTTCCTCCCGCAATGAATCAAATATCAAAGAATTGCACGACTGGCGATCCGAAGTGGAAAATTATCATTCTAAAGTTGAGCGTTTGTGGGATTATCACAGTCGCTGCCGTCCTCGGCAGCTATTTCGTGCTAAGAGCGTTTCACAAATTTCGCAACTTGCGAACTGCTTCCAACAACATTTTGGTGAGTTTGTCTATCGCCGACGGCTTACTAGCGATTCCCATGATTCTTGATATCATTCATTTGTGCCTTAAGTATAATGTTGGACATTGTTCGCGTATTCTTAGAGAAGTAAGAGGAACTGTCACCTTGTTCCTCCTTTCGGTCATTATTCTTCATCTTACTTTAATGAGCTCAGAACGTTTCATCGCCATCAGGTTCGCCTTACGATACCAAGCCATAGTGACCAAACGCCGAGTACGGATCGTTTCCATCGCGATGTGGCTGTGGGCTCTGGTCATTGTTATTGCTCTTCCATGGACGCTTTATGGGATAACAGGCCACAAAGAGTTCAGAGAATTTCCCATAGGGATGCATCCAGATAGTGATAAAGCCCAAGAGCTCCACATCAGATGGCATCTTGTATTCACAGCTGCGTCAATGTTTCTTGTTCCCCTGTTGATCATTATATGCTCGTACACCTACATCTTCATAGTGTCCTACAAGCAGAGACAACGTGTCAGAAAACAGGGCCGCGACTCTCCAGGAATACCAACAGTCAAGCACGAAATGAAAGGCGCCCGAACTCTCGCCATTGTTGTGGCGCTGTGTCTGCTCAGTATCATTCCTATCCTTGTTGTGACATCCCTCCGAGTTTTCTGGGGCAAATTACTCGCAGGCCACCTCCATCAAAAGTTACTTCAGCATATCGTTTATAAGGTAGCCATGTTTTTGAACGCTGCATGCAATCCTCTTATCTATGGATGGAGAAATGAGGACTTCAGAAACGCTTTTCGCAGGATGATAAAGTGCTGCTAAGCGAGTTTAGCGCATGAACGCCGTTAGGTATTGTAGGCCGTATCCAAGATTTAATATTCTTTTCTTGAAGGCAAATTGGCTAAGTATCGAGTAACAGACGATACCAAAGTCTCTTTTGCAAGCCTCTGAGAACAGCTCAATTTGGTTTGTACCTTTCCTCTTTTGTCTGCTAAATTACTAGACTCAAATAAAGAGCCCTACGCAGGAACTGTAATAATATAGCGGCTCGAATGTCAGTTGGTCAAATTCTGTAACGAGTTTCATTTTGAGCAAAAAAGACTCTGTTCTATGAATAAGACCTTTTACAAGTGGCCCAGTGAAGGACATAAACTGATAGCTGCGAATTCGTCAACATTTTTACTGTCAGCAGAGAAAAGAGGGATTTTTAACTGAGTGCTGAGACTTGATCAAAAAAATTATTGATACGGGTGAGAAAAACCAACGGCGATTCCAATACCCCCATGCAGACCCATTTTAACTCTTAAATGTTGTAAAAGAAAAAGCTGCACAATTTCATTCGTGCTTATGGAGATAGCATGGTGAATAAAGAAAATTTGTCCATAGAAGTTTAGAATTAATTTCAAACATTCCAGTCTCTTGGTATCATGCAATGAAATACCATACCCAAAAACAAACCACAAAAACGTACATACCGTTTAGGCACACGATAGTGATAGTACCACAGTACGGTTCCAGTAAAATTACAGTGTTTGTATGGGGTAAAAGTACGATCCTAAAATTTCTACGAAATACTAAATAAAGATCAATGAAACTCACTCCGCAGTTAGTTGTTGTTGTCCTTAATGCTCCAACGAAGTTTCGTGATAATTTGTTCAAATTCACTGTATATACCATAATAATATACAAGGTAGGAGACACGAGATGCCATCTTCGCCGCCATGCGCTCATTCAACTGCAACTTTTTCCACGAAATCCGAACTACGACAGAAAATAAACATGCCAGGATTGTAATAATAGGATAGCAGCAGATATAGAAACCAATAAAGGTTTCCCAGATAGAAAAGCGAATCCCGCAGACTTTGACAAACTCGAAGGATGTAATCCAAAAAGGCCTAGAATATGTTCGCCGAAGTAGCCGGGCCAGATCAACGCGCGGCCAAGAAAATGAGCCGTGGGCACTGTACAAAAAAAATCCATCCCGGGTGTCCTGGGTTGACCTTTCTAGGGACCGATACATAGCTTTACCGAAGTTAGCCACCCCTGCTGGAAATACATTTGCTCGACGGCCATTGTTCACTTGAGAAAAACACCACTCGCCCAAGCAAACTACATGTTCCGGTGCAGAATTGTATTCAGAGGAACCTGAAGTAGGATGGAGGAGTACTAAAATCGCCGGAAAAAATAGTGGATTATGCCAACACTAACAACGTTGAATTTATTGTTGACCCGATTGTTTTATTCCATGGTTGATTAATTTACAGCTATTTGCAAATACTTAAGTTGATCAAGTGCAAGTGACTACCAGTGGAGAGTGCAGATTGGTTCTTTGACAACAAAATGACATGATCATATTGCTTGCACAGACGATACAGCATGTCTCGGCAGAAAAACAGCATTTTGATAAATGAGCATGCGCTGAACCGTGAATCTGTCCCTTTAAGGACAGTACATTTGCAGAAGTTCAAAGCAATGTAGCGTCCTAAACTAGCTATGTGAAAGGGGTACCATTTGTCAGTAGAAGGGTATACGAAAGGGATACCTTCTCTGTCAAAATTGTACATGTGGTAATGAAAGGTTAAGGCGTTTGACCTCAGGGCGGAGCCTCCTCGTATAAAAATTATCAGTCCGCTGACGGACAGCTGGTTGTTATCAAGAAAGTACTGTCTTTTTCCAAGACAGATAGATTTAGCCAGGGCTAAAAGCGAAGCGCTCGATAATATTCATAGTTCAAACCAAATATAAAATGGTGTAATGCTAAGCGGCGAAGGCAACGCCGGAGAACGGTGAAAACAACAATTTGTGCAATTAGCAAAAAAGCAACTTTGCACGTGCAGCACAATTTTTCTGTACATTTCTTTGCCGTTGTTTTGCACGACTACAACGTGAAACTTCCAGAACCTTCTTAGGGCCTGTTTACATGGAGTGGGGGACCCCGGTCTAGTGGGGTTGGTTTCTTTTGTTTTCACGCTCTGGTGGACACAAAATAAAAGAAACCTACCCCACTAGACCGGGGTCCCCTACTCCATGTAAACAGGGTCTTAAGGGCCTATTTACATGGAGTGGGGGACCCCGGTCTAGTGGGGTTGGTTTTTTTTGTTTTCACGCTCTGGTGGACACAAAACAAACGAAACTTACCCCACTAAACCGGGGTCCCCCACTCCATGTAAACAGGGTCTTAGTTAGACGTTGTCATACGTGTTCTCGTTCACTTCTTTTGTTTTTTGACTGCCGCTCATTTTCACCTTCCATTGGTGGCCGCTAGCGTTTCTCATCTTCTCACCTCCGCTACAATATTTTCATGTTGTTCTTCCAAGGAAAAAATGTCTTCTTTGTTTCTTTGTCTCTTGCTCTAGATCTCTGTCGCCCTTTTCCTCGTTGAGCTTCGCTGGCCTGCCGCCTACTTTCTCTAACTCTATATTCCAAATTTGTGGACATGACAATTAATCTAAGCTTTTAATTTGTTCATGCTTAGAGTGCGTATATCGAGTTATGGATGCACCCGGGAAGTTTGGAGAGCACGGAAGACTTTTTGGGTGCTCCCCAAACTTCCCAAGTTTATCCATAACTCGATATACGCACAGCTAAAAGCATGAGCAAATTCTTTTATAACATAGCTGCCAAAAAAGCTTGCATTTCGATTAACTACAAAATTCTCGTAACGCGAGACACAATAACAAATGCTTCAGTCTATTGGCTGATTACAAACACGCCACAATGGTCTGGTTTGAATGAAAAGTCTTTCTGTAAAACTGAGAAAGAAAATTTGCTTATTTATTCAGTTGTTTATTCGTTAACGATCAATGAAAACTAAAAACAAACAAAGGTAAAAGAGTCTTAAAGTCCACCTAAAGTGAAAATACTCACATGTTCGTAAGAAGTCGTGGAGTATGGTTTGGATTGGTTTGGATTTGCTTTAAAGATGTTTATGTTTTGCTCGGCGAAATCCAGAAAACTTGTTTTCCAGCGAAGACGACTGTCATCCTACGTTAACCTTATATTCATTTACGAACAATGGCTGGTCATTACGGCTTCTTGAGAAGACCTGGCAGCAGTTGTTTTGGTGAGTAATAAATTTATGTCTTCTCGTGTAATTTGTCTTGTCATTGCATGAGAAATTTTCCTGCTTCAGTCGGATTGTTGGGCGATAACAAAAGTGTGTAATTCTTTGTATCCTGCGTAGCAAGCGTTTCCGTGCTGTTTCGAGAGTCAAAGACCGCGCGAAAAATGGTCCGAGTAAACGGGGAGGGGGTGGGGAAGAAAGGTAACTGATAACCGCTGGTAACTGATAACCACTTTACGGCGACTGCTTACTAATGTCAAGGACAAAGACAAACCGGAGGACAGACAGGGAGCAGTATACAAGATCAAATGCTGCGACTGCCAGGCTTCTTACATTGGTGAAACCGGCAGAAACCTAAGCACGCGACTGACCGAACACAAACGCGCGACGAGGAATGGTGACGTCAACAATCACATTGCTGAGCACCATTTAAAGACGAAACATCAAATTGACTGGGACTCTATCAACGTCTTACTTTAGAAAGCTGGTTTACTAACTTAGAACAAACGCCACTGAATCGTAGTCAACAGTTACCAGCGCCGTACAAACGACTTATTGACGAGATCAAGCAAAACTAACTACGAGAGAACAACTGGAGAACTAACAATTTGACTAACAATAGACGACTGTTTAACTGCGACAATAGACGGATCGAAACGCACCAATCACTGATTACGAGTCTTCATAGCCAATAACATCACGGCTTAACTGACAGACGACCAATAACATCGCGACATAATTGACGAATCAGATCAATAACCAGAGTATAATACCATCAACTGATGTGATACAACTCACTTTGACTCTGAAGATGACTACCGCACAGGTTGTCGAAACGTCAGTCACTGTCAACAACGACAGTCCTATTCAGGACTACGTTCACCCGGACGATCAAACTCAACCTTTTGATTATTATTATTATTATTACAATTTTTTGGGGCCAAAAGTATTGCGAACCATCAGAGGAAGGGGTAAATTCAGGAGGGGCCAATCTAGATAGTTTTCATCTGGTGTAATATTTTAGCAGGATTTAAATGACCTTCTTGGCCAATCTGGTTAGCTCCCATTCGGTGTATCAACCTTAGCACAACATGTGGGATCATACGAGTATTGACCATAAAGATGGACGAGATCAATCTGGAAAGCCCTTGTCTGGCATAACAACACCTTAACACATTATTTGAGAATTCATTATTTTAGACAACCTGGATGGTGACAGCTCCAAAAAGTTGAAAACATCCTTACTATGATAACTTCTTAATCTTAATCAAAACATACGCGCGTGATAAAACTTTACAAATGTTCAAAAAACTTTGGAAACTTCGGAACAACTTCGGGTTATGTTGGGAAATCATTGTTGGGAAGTCATTGAGTAGGATTTCCGATATCTATTATATTAAAAATATTTTTAATTATTTTGGGTACCTTGCCGGTCGACTTTGTCTTCTTAATACTCAGCAGTATATTTTGGAAATGCTCTGAATCCGTTTGCAATTGCATTATAGTTTCTGGGACCTTGCAAGGCAAGTGTCGCGTCTTATGAGGTTTTTGTTCTGGACTGGGTGTTAAATAGCAATAAGACTGAAATAGAAAAGAGATAAATCAATCAATCCATATGACGGGTAAAAAAGAAATCTTTAGTGTAAAACCTAATCAATGGTTATTTCAAATTCTATGTATTTTACTAATACATTTAATGTTCGCCCCTCTAATCTTAGAAATTTGCCAATAATCTAATCTGAGTATTTCCAGACTTAAGTTGTGAGAGTTCGCGAAATGTAACATCCTCAGCAGGGAAAAAGCTCTTTGTAAGTGACGCATTCAGACTATCAGGTAAAGCGGAACCTGGATCCGCCACTGCCCTAGTAGTTATAATGACCTTTCTTCATATAACGTACAAATCATTCATTAGTACTTTGTTGTAGTTATAATTTCTTTACAATTATTGTAGGCTTAGCCTTTTGTGAGTAGCATTTTACCACTGCATAAATATTATTCAAATTTACCACGGCTCTAGACCAACGTTTTTAACTTATAACTGGTTAAATAAAGATATGTAAACGAAGTTAAGGCGTTTACTCATTCTCCCCTTCATCCTCCTTCGGATCTTTTCTTGCGTGGGACGTTGTTTAGAACGTCGGGTGCCCAACAAGTTTGCGAGCTATTGAACATACATCAGTTGCCCTATGTACGTTTTTTTAGATGTCCTTAGTGAAAAGCTTAGCAACATTTAAGGAAAGAATCAACCCCGCTCTTTTTTCATAAGTTCCCACTTAATTAACCAAAGACGTCGTTTAATTGCAATGGTAAGAGATGTGCGTTGCGACCAGTAGCTTTGATTTATTTGAAGGTGAAAATACAGTTAAGCAGTGATCGACCTTTTGTCTTAGTTCTTGGTGTAAGCTTTAAAATTCCTGAACTTTTCTGGTGCTTTCCGTGAAATGCGCGCACACAGTGTACAAGGCTCTCAACCTTGTAGACTTTGTTGGGTTCTATCTACCAGTAACTGTTCGTTTCAGGTGCAAAGGAAATTGATATTATACTGTACTGTAGATCCAGAAAAAATGGCAGTGCCTAAAAAGAAGGAAAGAAAATAGCGATAGAGTGATGTCAATTTACATTACGAGAAAACCCTTTTTTTCTTGATTCTTCGAGCAAAACAGGTGAGGAAAGAAACTTGTCACGCGCGCTTCTCTCTTATGAAGTGTGCCACCCCACTAACTTAGTAACTCTAATGGATAAATAAGAGACTACTGGTAGTCTTCATCAGTCAAGTTTAAAGAAATAAGTGAAAAAAAAAAATAACGGCCGAAATGTTATTAGCCATGTTTGGTCCCCTTGCATTGACATGCCGGCCTCTCCGACTTAAAAAATGCGCCCCCCACAGCCATGCATCCAAGGCGAGTCTAAAGTCTAAGTTCTCCGTTACTTCCGTTTTTTTGCAAAGTGCAATAGCCTTGGCAATAGGTATTTCAAAGCGCAAGGATTTTGACATTACACTTTTAGAGCAAAATAAATAAGTTTTTTCTACAAAGACTTCAAGCTCGATTAACGTCCCTGTCACGTTTACCTACTTTATTCTCACTTAATGTCGCGAAAAATTATGAGCCGTATTTCGCGAGTATTTAATTTCGCGATTTTTCTGTTCTTTAATATGTAAAGGCAACTTTAACCTCAGAACAGTAACAGCAGAATAAGCAATTATCGTAAACAACAAAAAACAAAGACAATTATGAAGAAAACGTCAACCAGCTAAACATAACAAAGCATGAGGTTTTCAATAGTCTAACTAAGTACCCACAAAATAAATAGTTGCATAGTAAATATCTACACTCTGATAAACTAATTGGGATAACTAATAAAGCAACATCTTGAATGTCGTTATTTTATGCGTATGTATATGTCTGGTATTAAATTTCGCGATTTTAATCTTCGCGGGTATTAGGAAAAATCGCAAAAATAGCGAAATTTAATTCTTGCGAGATTAAAAGGTAGTCTACGGCAAAAGTACTACTTCGAACTCTCAATGCTTTTAAGAAAGTCGTTTTCTTCTCATCCTTTTGATTGACATGTCAAACAGTGAAGCAAACCTTGTCCAATAAAATTAGACGATCTTGTGTTAAGTGCAAGCAAGTCCGGCCAGTTGGTGTTTGTCTGCGCGTATGCGTCTGTGTTAAAAAGGAGAGGCAGCGTGCAAGAAAGCGGGAAAAAATTTTAAAAAGTGTATCGAACTAACCACTAACTTGTTTAACTACGAGTAGAAGAATAGTTTTCATTTTGTTGTTGTTTGGATTTTATGGGCCGCGTGTTTATTCTGCCCTTTTGCACACAGTTGACAGTTCTTAAACCTATTACGATTCAAATAAAAGTCAGCCGAGCATAATTTAGAAAGGAAAAACACATCGCACGATCTGCTGGGCTATAGTAATTGTAACCAGTTTTGAAGTCTGAAAACACATCATGGCCAGCAATTTGTCTTTTAACCAGGAAAAATTTTGACTAAACGAAACGCATTGCCCTGCTCAAAACCTCAGCCTGGCAAAGGAAAAAGTAATTATCATTTCAGTTATGAGTATTCATCTCATCTTGACTGTCGCCGCAGTCTTCGGTCGCTATTTTGTGATTAGAGCGTTTCACAAATTTTATAGTCTTCGAACTGCTTCCAACGTTATTCTGGTGAGTTTGTCAACCGCTGACGGTTTACTGGCGATTCCTTTGATTTTCGGCATCGTGCAAATGAGTCTTAGACTGTTAAACGACTCTGATGCTGAGTGTCGCTCCGGTCCTCTTGGAAAAATAACCTCAACATCCAGCTTCTTTCTCATCTCCGTCATAATTCTTCACCTCGCGTTGATAAGCGTAGAACGTTTAATCGCCGTGAAGTTCGCCTTAAGATACCACACCATAGTGACCAATCCTCGAGCATTGATCGTTGCCTTGGCGATGTGGTCTTTTGCCGCGACCGTTACGGTTACGATAACTTTTGCAACGACACTTGTAGCAAACAGTGGAGATATTGAACGGTTTCGCCAAGCGATGGATCCACACTGTAAAAACCCTGAAGATCCTTTGGATCACGATCTTAATCCGTTAATCAAAGGGCTTCTCATCTTTCTAGTAATGTTTTTGCTAGTCATCCCCTTGGTAATCATTTTGTGTTCATATGGCTACATCTTTATCGTCTCCTACAAACAAAGGAAAAATATAAGAGGACAAAACAACATTCCAGGAATGGCTACCGCCATCAAGCACGAAATGAAAGGCGCCAGTACTCTTGCTATTGTTGTAGCCGTCTGCCTTCTCAGTATCGTCCCACTGATAATCGTCACAGGCCTTCGGTTTTTCGGCGAACTTCCCGAACGTTGCGACCCAAAGAGAAAGTTAATTAAGTTTATTGTTTTTGACTTAGCAACAGGCTTAAACACCATCTGTAATCCTCTTGTCTACGGATGGAGAAATGCAAAATTCAGAACGGAAACTGCTGAAGTGCTCTCAAAACGCGAAGTTGTGCACCGTCGGAAGCTGGGATTAAAGAGCCTGCTGTTTTAAATGGAGAATTTGCCACCAGAAAAAAATTACTCGAATGGGGTCGAACATTTTCCAGACTTTAGGAGCAAGTTCTGGCAATAGGGATTTTGGGAAGAAAAATGGGAAGAAAAAAAAACTGCTGCGACATATTTAATGCCTTTTTTTAAACAGTTAACACATGCATGATCAGCTTTCATTATATCCATGCGAAATTTACATTGATCCAATTTATCCAAAAGTGACTAGGATGAGTCCATCGTTTGCCACAAAATAAACTATAATGGACTAGAAGTTCTGAGAAGCAAGCTTCACATACCCAGCAAAAGTTGACCCAAGTTTATCCCCGGGTCTTAAATAAAATGCTTTTACTCGAAAATCCGGCTGAAATTCATCTCGGTTTTTATAAACTAAATCTCAAGGTTAAGGAAACTTTTGGGCAATGATAAGGAGCGTTCTATTCAGTACATTGTGGAAGTAAGATAAAGACGAACTACAAAAAATTTCTCAGAACTTATGCCAGACTGCATGCAGTTTTTCAAAAAGAAGTGATGTTATTTACAAAAGAGGTGATGGTCGATCCAAGTTGATGGAGCTCTTATCCATATCAGCAAATACAGTGTGCCGAACACATTGTTAACACAAAATCTAATCATCGGATTATCTTTCTTTTCCTAGAAAAGAAACTTAGTAAATAAATAAATAAAAACGAATACCAAAAACTGTAAGGAAAAAACGGTATTGATACAGCTCCTCAGGATACAGTAAAACAAAAATTATCTGCGGTAAACGAGCGATGCACAAAATAGATACCAGTTCTCGACCGAGAAGAACTATCACATGAGATCGAGGTCGAATGAACCAGGCAGCCAGTCCAAGATTTCGTCCAAACCGTGAAATCATATGGCATCCAGGACGATACCTACCCGAATCCCGCGGGAAAAGAAACACGACTCTAATAGTATGCGGTCACCTAATTCCTCAAACGGGAAATAAACACTTTTCCAGTTACGCAGAATGATATACTAATTTTAAGCACCTTCTGTACTCTTCAAACAGATCGCCGCTGAGCTATCTAAGAGTTCTATTTTTGTCTCTGTAAAATATCTTTATTAAAGGAACTGCCCGTGGGTTCTGAAATTCGAAAAAGAAAAGTGGCAAACTAAGTTTTGCAACCATATTTGGGTGTTTGCCAATTTTTCCTGTTTGGTCGCCTCTTTTCTTTACATGAACACCTGTTGAAATGTGGACGTTCTTTATTGTATCTATTCCGCTCCAAACGTCTTCCGCTCTTTAATAAGTTTAATTTCTTATAACTGTCGCCAGAAAGTGTGAATTCAATTTATTTCTCCTTTCGAATTCATTATTTTCCTACATAATGGTTTACGCGTGTCAATTAATTTTTAATAACACAGCATCATAAAGTTAGAAATGAAAACTGACGTTTCCTAGTCGCTTGATTAATGGCTCAAAAACGAAGGTGTCGAGCCAGTCTGTCTACTTCCTTGAACAAAAACAATTTCTGTTCAGCTGACAGCTGAGAGTGCATATTAGAATTTAAAACGGCTATTTTAAGCCGAAACTTATCCACAGTCGCAAAGAAACAGGACCCATGCATTTTTTATGCGTGAAGCCGGTTCCGATGTTGATATTAATAACTGACTTGATAGTCTCTTAAATGATAATAATAATGATAATAATAATAATGATAAGATTAATAATAATAATAATAATAACAATAACAATAATAATAATAACAATAATAATAAAAACAATAATAATATTAATAATAATAATAATTATTATTTTAGTAATAATCAGTAATAATAATATTAATTCAAAGGAGTATTTAGGAGACGTTTTTAGACCTGCTAAAAAGCTCGCACTTCGTACATGTTCGGTTGTTCCTTGTATTTTAAACTCAGTAAGACGCACTTACTAGTTTATGAAACTTTCAAAGCCTGCTGTTACAACTAATTTTTATTAAGAGTGCCACAGTTGTTTTGTTTTTCTTTCTAGGCCAAATATAAGGTTCTTTTTTATGAATTATAAGTTGACTCTGTACAAATTCAATTCACCGTTGAACGCAGTCAGGTGTTTAGTATAAATTAAGAACACTGCGTGATAACTAGTTTATTTGCTCAACTCTATACTATGCAATTTTGACATCCTATTTACTTTCTTAATGGATTCTCAATGAATTAGCGAGGACATTTAGAGTTTGACGTTGTAGAAAGCAGTAATTAAGACAGTTACCCAAGGTTAACCTGTATATTATATGGACAAGCATGTTTATTTGGTTTTTGGTTAATAGAAATGGTTTAATTCTACCTTTATTGCAGTTGCGGGGTATTTTGTTTTGACGCTATTAAAACAAAAGGAACATCATCAATAGTAGTTATCGTTATCTAATATCCTTTGATCATATACAGAGTTGGGTTCACCTGGCCATGGCTGAATATTTGTATAGTTTGATTATGATACGAAACGGAACAACAGTGGTATGAGTAAGTGTTCCGAAAACGATAGATAACATAGGTGGCACAATTTTCCTCCCGCAATGCCGAAGAATTGCTCGCCTGGCGATGCCTCACAGAATTGGATATTTATTCTAAAGTTGAACGTTTGTGGGATTATCACAGTCGCTGCCGTCCTCGGCAGCTATTTCGTGCTAAGAGCGTTTCACAAATTTCGCAACTTGCGAACTGCTTCCAACAACATTTTGGTGAGTTTGTCTATCGCCGACGGCTTAATAGCGATTCCTTTGATTCTTGATATCATTTTGTATAATGTTGGAAATCGTTCACTTTTTTTGTAATTTAAAAGAAGTAAGCGGAACTGTCAACTTGTTCCTCCTTTCGGTCATTGTTCTTCATCTCAGCTTAATGAGTTCAGAACGTTTCATCGCCATCAAGTTCGCCTTAAGATACCACACCATAGTGACCAAACGCCGAGCACGGATCGTTTCCATCGCGGTGTGGCTGTGGGCTCTGGTCATTGTTATTGCTCTTCCATGGACGCTTTATGGGACAACAGGCCACAAAGATTACAGAGAATTTCACATAGAGATGCATCCAGATAATGATAAAGCCAAAGAGCTTCACATCAGATGGCATCTTGTATTGACAGCTGCGTCAATGTTTCTTGTTCCCCTGTTGATCATGATATGCTCGTACACCTACATCTTCATAGTGTCCCACAAGCAGAGACAACGTGTCAGAAAACAGGGCCGCGACTTTCCAGGAATGCCAACTATCAAGCACGAAATGAAAGGCGCCCGAACTCTCGCCATTGTTGTGGCGCTGTGTCTGCTCAGTATCATTCCTATCCTTGTTGTGACATCCCTCCGAGTTTTCTGGAGCACATTACTCGCAGGCCACCATCAAAAGTTACTGCAGCATATCGTTTATAAGGTGGTCATGCTTTTGAACGCTGCATGCAATCCTCTTACCTATGGATGGAGAAATGAGGACTTCAGAAACGCTTTTCGCAAGATGCTAAAGTGCTGCTAAGCGAGTTTAGCGCATGAACGCCGTCAGGTATTGTAGGCCATATCCAAGATTTACTATTCTTTTCTATAGAGCAAATTGGCTAAGTATCGAGTAACAGACGATACTAAACTCTCTTTTGCAAGCCACTGAGAACAGCTCAATTTGGTTTGTACCTTTTCTCTCTTGTCTGCTAAATTACTAGACTCAAATAAAGAGCCCTACGTAGGAACTGTAATAACATAGCGGCGCGAATGTAAGTTGGTCAAATTTTGTAACTAGTTTCATTTTGAGTAAAAAAAGACTCTGTTCTATGAATAAGACCTTTTACAAGGGGCCCAGTTAAGGACGTAAACTGATAGCTGCGAACTCGTCAACATTTTTACTGTCAGCAGAGAAAAGAGGGATTTTTAACTGAGTGCTGAGACTTGATCAAAAAAATTATTGATACGGGTGAAGAAAACCAACGGCGATTCCAACACCCCCATGCAGACCCATTTTAACTCTTAAATGCTGCGCAATTTCATTCGTGCTTATGGAGATAGCATGGTGAAGAAACAAAATTTGTCCATAAAAGTTTAGAATTAATTTCAAGCAGTCCAGTCTCTTGGTATCATGCAATGAAATACCATACCCAAAAACAAAGCACAAAAACGCATATACCGTTTAGGCACACGGTTCAAAGAACATCTGTTGGGAGCCCCGGGAAGGGGGTGACTCCCAAATGAAAACGATGGAATATTCGTTGTCTCGCTTAGGATTGATCATGACTGAAACTAATGTGATATCTTTACCCATAGGGGTATCATTGTGGATTGTGAGTAAAGAAATAACTAGGTAAAACAAACAAATGCTTTATAACAAAGGGAGAACAGTTGTGACAAAATCGCGAAAAAACGCGAAATTTGTAGTTTTTGTAATTTTCGTTAAAATTGTAACATCACAGGTAACCCTGGCTCTGTGATAGTACCACAGTACGGTTCCAGTAAAATTACAGTGTTTGTATGGGGTAAAAGTACGATCCTAAAATTTCTACGAAATACTAAATAAAGATCAATGAAACTTACTCTGCAGTTAGTTGTTGTTGTCCTTAATGCTCCAACGAAGTTTCGTGATAATTTGTTCAAATTCACTGTATATACAATAATAATATACAAGGTAGGAGACACGAGATGTCATCTTCCCCGCCATGCCCTCATTCAACTGCAACTTTTTCCACGAAATCCGAACTGCGACAGAAAATAAACATGCCAGGATTGTAATAATAGGGTAGCAGCAGATATAGAAACCAACAAAGCTTTCCCAGATAGAAAAGCGAATCCCGCAGACTTTGACAAACTCGAAGGATGTAATCCAAAAAGGCCGAGAATATGCTCGCCGAAGTAGCCGGGCCAGATCAACGCGCGGCCAAGAAAATGAGGCCTGGGCACTGTACAAAAAAAATCCATCCCGGGTGCCCTGGGTTGACTTTTCTAGGGACTGATACATAGCTTTACCGAAGTTAGCCACCCCTGCTGGAAATACATTTGCTCGACGGCTATTGTTCACTTGAGAAAGACACGACTCGCCCGAACAAACTACATGTTCCGGTGCGGAATTGTATTCAGAGGAGCCTGAAGTAGGATGGAGGAGTACTAAAATCGCCGAAAAAAATAGTGGATTATGCCAACACTAACAACGTTGAATTTATTGTTGACCCGATTGTTTTATTCCATGGCTGATTAATTTACAGCTATTTGCAAATAGTTAAGTTGATCAAGTGCAAGTGACTACCAGGGGAGAGTGTAGATTGGCTCTTTGACAGCAAAATGACATGATCATATTGCTTGCATAGACGATACAGCATGTCCCGGCAGAAAAACAGCATTTTGATAAATGAGCATGCGCTGAACCGTGAATCTGTCCCTTTAAGGACAGTACATTTGCAGCAGTTCAAAGCAATGTAGCGTCCTAAACTAGCTATGTGAAAAGGGTACCATTTGTCAGTAGGAGGGTATACGAAAGGGGTACCTTTTCTGTCAAAAATAGTATATGTGGTAAATAAAGGTTAAGGCGTTTGACCTCGGGGCGGAGCCTCCTCGTATAAAAATTATCAGTCCGCTGACGGACAGCTGGTCGATATCAAGAAGGTACTGTCTTTTTCCAAGACAGAGCTGAATTACTTGAATAATATATAGATTTAGCCACGGCTAAAAGCGAAGCGCTCGATAATATTTATAGTTCAAACCAAATATAAAATGATGTAATGCTAAGCGGCGAAGGCAACGCCGGAGAACGGTGAAAAAACAACAATTTGTGTAATTAGCAAAAATGCAACTTTGCAAGTGCAGCACAATTTTTCTGTACATTTCTTTGCCGTTGTTTTGCACGACTACAACGTGAAACTTCCAGAACCTTCTTAGGGCCTGTTTACATGGAGTGGGGGACCCCGGTATCTTGGGTTGGTTTCTTTTGTTTTCACGCTCTAGGGGACACAAAACAAAAGAAACCTACCCCATTAGACCGGGGCCCCCCACTCCATGTAAACAGGGTCTTAGTTACACGTTCTCGTACGTATTCTCGTTCACTTCTTTTTTTTTTTTTTCACTGCCGCTCATTTTCACCTTCCATTGGTGGCCCTCTAGCGTCTCTCATCTTCTCACCTCCGCTACAAGATTTTCATGTTGTTCTTCCAACGAAAAAATGTCTTCTTTGTTTCTTTGTCTCTTGCTCTAGATCTCTGTCGCCCTTTTCCTCGTTGAGCTTCGCTGGCCTGCCGCCTACTTTCTCTAACTCTATATTCCAAAATTGTGGACATGATAATTAATCTAAGCTTTTAATTTGTTCATGCTTTTAGCTGTGCGTATATCGAGTTATGGATGCACCCGGGAAGTTTGGAGAGCACGGAAGACTTCTTGAGTGCTCTCCAAACTTCCTAAGTGCAATAACATAGCTGCCAAAAATGCTTGCTTTTCGATTAACTACAAAATTCTCGTAACGCGAGACACAATAACAAACGCTTCAGTCTATTGGCTGATTACAAACACGCCACAATGGTGTAGTTTGAGTGAAAATTATTTCTGTAAAACTGAGAAAGAAAATTTGCTTATTTATTCGTTAACGATCAATGAAAACTAAAAAGAAACAAAGGTAAAAGAGTCTTAAAGTCCGCCTAAAGTGAAGATACTCACATGTTCGTAAGAAGTCGTGAAGTATGGTTTGGATTGGTTTGGATTTGCTGTAAAGATGTTTATGTTTTGCTCGGCGAAATCCAGAAAACTTGTTTTCCAGCGAAGACGACTGTCATCCTACGTTAACCTTATATTCATTTACGAACAATGGCTGGTCATTACGGCTTCTTGAGAAGACCTGGCAGCAGTTGTTTTTGTGAGTAATAAATTTATGTCTTGTTGTGTAATTTGTCTTGTCATTGCAAGAGAAATTTTCCTGCTTCAGTCGGATTGTTCGGCGATAACAAAAGTGTGTAATTCTTTGTAGCCTGCGTAGCAAGCGTTTCCGTGCTGTTTCGAGAGTCAAAGACCGCGTAACAAAGACCGCGCGAAAAATGGCCCGAGTAAGCGGGGAGGGGGTGGGGAAGAAAGGAAGGAAACGCTTGCAGACAACCCCGGGAATTTGAAAACCGCCTACTCTGCTTGTCATGCCTGAGTGCGCATGGTAATCTTTGTTTTCTTAACGATACTCGACTGGCTTTCAACTCATGCAAATTACCACTTGTAATGTGTAATGTACACAAGTGATTCTTATAGTCTAAATTCGAAGCGAGCAATGTCACATGAATCAATCATTTTCTCACCTTGCGTGCTAAGTCGAAAAATAAATTGTTGCTGATTTAAAATAGGGGTACGGAGATATTCCTTCCCTCTAACGATTGGTTGTTGTTGTTGTTAGTCGAGGAGATGAAATACTGGTGAACAGAGAGGTAGGGCATCTAATGAGGACCAAGGGTATTGACGATAACGATCGAGGGGTATGTTCTGGAAGGGCCAATCTGGATAGTCCCTTTTTGGTATAACACCTTAGCGCACTAATTTGGACAAAGCTTATTGACTATGACGATGGATGGGTATATTCTGAAAGGGCCAATCTGGTTAGCCCCTGTTTGGATAACACATTAGCACACTTTTTTGGACCAAGAGTGTTGACCATGACGATGGAGAGATGTGTTCTGGAGGGGCCAATCCGGATAGCCCCTATTTGGTACAACACCTTCGCGCTTTTGATCACCTAGCATGTTAAAAAGCGTACTATAAATGAATAAATTATTATTATTATTATTATTATTATTACACTGTTTTGGGGCCAAAAGTATTGCGGACCATCAGAAGAAGGG